GCCCCCTTTATTTCTGCTATCCTTCATTGTTGGTTGAGGTCCAATTTATCACGTTGTTTAAACAAATGATGCCCTCGGGAATTTTTTTTTTTTTTTAAATACCCTTTTGGTTCCATGTTCCTTATCCTTTGACCTGTGTGGTGGTGGCGGGGGGGTTGTGTTTGTTTTTGTTTTGTTTGTTTGGTTCGTTCATTTCATATCATCTGTTTTATCATTTGGTGTCAAGCAGGTTGCTCGGCCCGTCCATAGAAAGAAAGCCCGCATGGCACGGACACGCTCCAATTTCTTGACTAGAGGTGCTTTTGCTGATTGGGAGGGGGATACAGAGGAAGAGGATTGTGATGACAATCTTGAGTTCCTTCTCTCCTTTGAGCATCCACCTCACCTTGAGCCCGGTTGCGCAGTCAGGCTCGGGCAGCCCTGTCATAGTGACTCTGAAATGGTAATATATTCCACCAGCAGTCGTAGTGGGGAAATGGGGCATTTTCTTGGCTAACCCTCAGCAGAACTGACACCTTCTCCTGCTGTTTCTCCCATCCTGTAAGGGATATTGTTGGATAGTAACCTCTAAGAACACAGTCGCCCAACGCCGACCCCTCTCGGTGTCAAGATCTAGGAATATCCTTTAGCCATGGTTTCTTCAGTAGGTCCCTGCAGTCATCCTCCCATCATCCACCGACACACTTGAGTTTTCAGCAAGTAAAGATGGAGTAGGCAGCGTACGGGTAGTCCTTGGCTTACAACAGTCCTTTTAACGACTGCTCAAAGTTACAAGGGCAGTGGAAAAAAGTGACTTAGGACCATTTTTCACACCCCATAGTCACGTGATGCAAATTCAGATGCTTGGCAACCGACTCACATGATCCCTTTTTGAGGCTTTCTGATGAGCAAAGCCAATGGGGGAGCCAAATTGATTCCTCCACCGTGTTACTAACTTAACAACTGCAGTGATTCACTTAACAAATGTGAGAAGGGAGGTCGTAAAATGGGGAAAAAATTCACTCAACAACTGTCTCCCTCCGCAATAGAAATTGTGGGCTCAATTGTGCTTGTAAGTCAAGGGCTACCTGTGTTCTTCTATTTCTAAGCTTGCCAGTTTCCAACCTTCTATCCTGTTTAAAGTAGAAGATAGAACCATCCTAGACTCTACTTTGGGATGAAATGCAACCTTCAGGAGGGGAGCTAGAAATATGGCTTGCAGAAAATTTAAAGGTTAGATGGGATTTACAGTAGAGGGACATCATGAATAAAATGCTTTAAAAGGCATTTTTCATCTGAATGAACTTTCCTGCTTGCTGAAGAGATCTGTTACTCCCATTGAGAGGTTGAAGAGCATGCGAGATCACGTTCCCGTTTAATTCATCCTCCTCGGGAAGATTATAAAATCCTTTCGGGCAGAAATGGTAGGGAAAGTGAAGCCCGGTTGCTTCAGATCGCACAATCCGAGGGGATGGGCTGTGTTCTTGGAAGTTACAGTGCCGCTTCCGCCAACATTGACTAGTTTCAGACTGGGAATCGTGGTTGAGACGTCAAGGGTGCTGGGTTCATTCACTCTTTGCTTGGAGAAGTCTTTCCTCAGAAGGAACCTCATTCCTGTCCCTTTTTCAAAACACTCTTTCGATTCTCCTGCTACCATTTTAACAGATGCCATCTGCATGCAAATAGTTCCTAGATCTTCACTTATCTTGCATCCTTTCTCCTTCCATGCTTCTCTTGGGGCCCCATCAGCTTTTTCCACTAGTGGTTTAGCACAACTACTTTACATCTGCATGCACACTCAATCTCTTGCTTTTTAAGTTTATGCTGAATTTCATGACCGCTGTTCCAAGCGAACGGTGAATTACAGATGTCTAAATGTCATATGGAATATTGCTTGGATATGGAATATTGCTCAAATGTACAAATGGCTCGGATATATGTAATGTTGCTCAAATGTGTTTAAAATTGTCCTCTGCGTTTCTTGGAAGTTTTTTTGTTGTTGTTAGATTTTGTATTTTTATTTTGCCTGTCTGTCCTAGTTGTTCGGAAAAGACCAATCAACTGCCTTGTTAGACGTGATAACTCGTCCTGCACCTCATTACTGCTCAGAAAATTAATGGCTCGTATTTGCCGAGGCTGCTTTTAATCAGGTCACATTGGTGCATATTTTCAGCACATGAAACGAAGGTTGTTTATTCTGAGCTTTCAGCACAAGAGGTGTGTCATTTAAGGAGCTCTCTTTTGCTAGGAAAGCGTTGATTAATGTCACGAAGAGGAAGAAATAGGTTATCGCCTCCACACCAGTTGTGGGTGAACAAAAGCCTCCCGAGTCCCTGTTTTTCCCATTATTTTTTTGCACGTTGCTCATTGTCTTTGAGTACATTACAATATGTTTGGCATTGATCGTTCTTTTTCGTTATTGAATGTCAACTATACTGCTTTTGGCTAGCTGACCAATTGGCGTGGACGAGGCCTGGAGGGAAGGTTAGGATGACTGCCACTATCCCAATTTAAGCATGCCCATGACTGAATATCACAGAGATAAGAGACACAACATGGGTTTATTTTAAAAGGAACCTGAAATATTTTGAATTTTTTAGCATTCTGGTAGAGCCAAAACTTGTCTGGATTTTGCTTTTTGTCCCCAGTAATGCAACTGAAGCAGGTCTTAAATCCGCTTGTTTAAGAGACAGAGGGTGCATATCTTTTTTTAAAAAAAAATCTTTATGGAAGTATAGCTCCCAAATTATCTCCTTCAGCCTGCAAAATAATTAGGAGATTATGCTATCATGCCTGTTGATTGCAGTTGGAGATGTTGTTTTTTTTACAATTCATCATTTTGTTAAAGGGTGGAAATGGATCGCATTTCTTTTTTCCATTTTTGCAAGTGAGCCAGGAAAATAAAACCTATAAGGGCTTACTCTTTCTTGTTGGAATTGAGAAAAAAAATCGAAGCATAGCAGCTAAAGATGTAGGAGTGGTTTCCCAGATGGGTACCTGGAACCAGTTTCTAGCGGATGCTTTGTTCCCTTCATTTATCAGTGTTTCCCCAGCCTTTTCGGTGAATTGTATTTTTCAAAATTGGACAGTTGTAAAACCCTGAAAAGACTTTTATTAGAAGCCGTTTCCTTTGCATTAACTAATACTGCTTTTCCAATGGATATGTGCCACATCCTGCCATTCATTTGACCTGTCAGCATTCCCTGCTGAGATGAAATTATATCTGGAGGGCAGTAATTCACAGTCCTGTTCTAGCAGATTCAGCACAACGTTTTATCTGAAAAACGTATTTAAGTGAATCACCATCCTCAGTATTATCACTGTAAACTATTTATTGTAATCAAAAACGAAAAAGTAATTGATTCTGGAGCGCTGGAATACATTGACCCCTCACACGTCTTGATTTCCTTTTGAGCTGTCATTTTTCTAAAAGTTTACTGCTCATCTAAATTTTGCATTATTGATTATGTGCCATCAAGTCTGTGTTGAGTCTTAACAACCATCATGGATAGATTTTTTTCTATGATGATCTGTTCCTAACTGGGTCTTCAGATGTTTCAGCAGTGACTCATGTATATCAGTTTCCATATTGTTTATAATAATTAAAAGATCTTCTCCCCCCCACCCCCAAAAGATGAACTATTAAATGTATGAGAAATTTTAAGTGGACAACATTCACCAGCTGGCAGTTTCCATGAATACATCAAAGAGAATATTATTTTTAAAGCATCAAAAGGTACTTCAAACAGACTTCTTCTTTTTTCCAGAAATCCAGGAGCCAGATTTCTTAGGAGTACCTTCCACAACTGCCTTCAGAAATCGCACACTTTTATGCAAAAGCCAATTACTTTTGCTTTAAGATTCTATATTAATGTATTGCTAGTTAGGGATGCGGTGGCTCAGTGGCTAAGACGCTGAGCTTGTCAGTCAGAAAGGTCAGCAGTTCGGCGGTTCAAATCAGCAGAGTGAGCTCCCATTACTTGTCCCAGCTTCTGCCAACTTAGCAGTTCGAAAGCATGTTAAAAATGCAAGTAGAAAAACAGGAACCACCTTTGGTGGGAAGGTAACAGCGTTCTGTGTGCCTTCGGCATTTAGTCATGCCGGCCATATGACCACAGAGACGTCTTCGGACAGCGCTGGCTCTTCAGTTTTGAAACGGAGATGAACACCGCCCCCTAGAGTTGGGAATGACTAGCATACACGTGTGAGAGGAATCTTTACCTATTCCTCTCGGTATTGATTTTCTGAACTAATAGTAACAGAACGTTGTGCTGCATCTTCTAGTCTATGGCTTTAATCCAAACAAGGAGAAGAGAAGTCAATCAAATGAAAGGCATCTTTGCCACAGGGAGTGGGGCTTTTTTAAAAAAGCAGCTTAAATGTTGAAAGTGCTGTAGAGCTCGATTGCGCCTCCTTAGAATATCCAATGATTCCATCATCTGTTACGTTTGAAATCATTGCAGATGCTACAACGTTCTGCATCCAACGAAGCAAAGCTTCACAAAACAATGTCTCAAGGAGAGATTGGACAGCTGCCAGTTGCCCAGAAGATCGTAGCCGTGGACAGAAGGTATAAATTTTCCGGCAAGGAAAAAAAAAAGCATGAATTAAACATGATGCAGTGCTTCTTTTTCTTAGCAATTTTTAGAAATTCACTAAACCATTTACCCTTCAATACCATCCCACAATGCAGATAAGCTATTTCAGTTGTATTGTATTGTATTGTATTTGGTTTATTTGTATGCCGCCCTTCTCCAGGAGGGACTCAGGGC